TAATCCTTTACACTGACTAGCTTTCACCCCCCCCACCCCTTTCTTCCCCCCACGCGGTAACCCCCCCCCCCGCCCCCGCGCCGTTCGCGCGGGGCTTATTGGCCGCACCCCCCGCTTGCGCACCCCCCCCTGCCGACCCCACCGCCGTCGCCAAGGCTCGCTCGGCGCTCTCCGGGGCGAAGGCTATGCTCTCCACCACGTGCGTGTGTTCTCGCAAGTCATGCAAGCACTGCCCACTGTGCACACTCCATACCTTAGCGGGAAGAACGGAGGGGGGATAGGCAGAGGAATTGTATGGGTAAGGGTCATGTGCTTCTGTCTTGTGCAAGTACATCGAAGAAACTCTTGTGGGTTCATCGGTACAGGGAGAGGTTTTACGGTGGCGGAGGGGGAATGAGAGAGTACCACGGTGTGTACTTGATTTGTGCCCACGCGATTGAACAAGTCACGGAATCTGGTCCGAAATCGCAGAATGAACCCAAGCTCGTCGCGTTCCTAGGGTCATAACAATGTACCGGTACACGTTGAAGGGTATCTAATATACCAACTCCGCGCAAACAAAAGATGAGATGCGGATGAAAATCTTGTCTTGTCGGTGCTTCACGATAACTGGTACCTGGCTAGCGCCGCATACGCAAGAAGTAAGAAAATACCAAGTCGCATCACCGAAAAAAATAGAGTCTGACCTTGACGGAATGGTCGTTCCCACAGCTGGCAAGCATCTCGCCGTCGTCACTCAACGCTACTCTCCGAACCCACTCCGAATCGCCCTTAAGCGTACGGGTGCAGAACCCCGTTGCCGCCTGTAGGTCAGGAATGACCGTCGGAGTTTAGGGGGGGGGGGGAATTCACGTCCACGTATGGTGGGAGGGGGGGGGGAGATGTAGCGGGGTAGGGCAAATGTAGCGGGGTAGGGCATAGCAGTGCGAGTGAAACGTGCGACGGCCGTGTTTGGAAACGTATCTGCCGCGCCACCGTCATCACCCATGCGGAGTTGATAAGGAGGGGGGGGGGGGGGGGGGGGGGGGGTATGCCCCGCGCCCGCGGGGCAGGGGACCCGAGAAAAAAA